AGTGTTATATATTTTGCTGACTTGTGTACTTACATTATCCCAAATGTTTCGAAGAATGTTTAAATCCAGAGAAATAATCAGTTTTAACTAGTGACACGGACCGTGTCCATAGTGTCACCTGCCAATGACAAAACATGGAAACACCAAAGACGCTTTAATATGTTGTGCGTTTTAATAGACCGGTGACGACCGCACAGAGTAGCATTATAACAGAACTTTCAAATGTATCTAGTACGATAAAACAGCTGCTTTATCCCACATACTCACGACCGGAAGCAGCAGAAGCGGTCGACTGTGGCATAATAAAAGCTGCGCTGCTTTCGAGCCATGTGTCGCGCTCGTTCAGCCCCTCGTTTCGCTTCGACGGCTTTCAGCCTCACCCTGCTTCATTCTACTACGTCAATAAATCATTAGCTCTTCCATGAACATGATTTCGGCCCGAGTCCCGTCGGATTGCATCAGCTGTGGGGATGAAGACCACAACTCCCATGATTCCACACTCAGTCACGGAGTCATCAAACTACGCCTTTGTCTATTTGTTTATTTTGAATACGCGCCCTCTAGTGGTGAAAATTACATATTGTGCCTTTAAAACAAACTAAATACAAATATGGAACAAATGGTTTGCGCCAATCATTTGTGATATGTCCAGAAGAAAATGCGAGTGAGAGGGAAACAAATCATGTGTGATGAGTTACATGGCAAAATGTATCACTTAAGGTTTGGGGTTTGTTTAAATCACTCATTACAAATAAAAAAAATAGTATTAGTAATGCCTACTTTAGCACACACCACTATGTAGTTCTTAGACAGCTAAACGGTATGATACATTATAGACTAGCATATCCAGTTTTGATGAATTATTTTTTATTTAAAAATGATTTGCAAACACTTCTGAATCATTCTTATTAAGCTGTTATACCTGCGATACTTTTTTCAGGATTTTTTGATGAATAAAAAGTTGAAAAAGAACAGCATTTATCAAAATAGAAATCTTTTCTGACAATATAAGTCCTTACTTTGATCACTTTTTATCGATTTAAACCATCCTTGCTGAATAAAAGTAGTAATTTCTTTAAAAAAAAGACATTAAAAGTTCTGACCCCAAATCTTTAAACGGTAGTGTATATTGTTACAAAAGATGTCTATTTTAAATAAATGCTGTTCTTTTTAACTTTTTATTCATAAAAGAATCCTGAAAAAAAGTATCACACGTTCCAAAAAACATTAAGCAGCACAACTGTTTCAACATTGATAAATCAGTATATTAGAATGATTTCTGACGGATAACCCAAACCTAATGATACTGAAAATTCAGCTTTGCATCACAGGAATTTTAAAGTATATTAAAAAAGAAAAACATAATTTTAAATTGTAATAATATTTTAAAATTGTAGTGTTTTTCTGTATTCTTGATCAAATAAATGCAGCCTGGTTAAGCATAAGAAACTTCTTTAAAACATTCAAAATCTTACTGATCCCAAACTTTTGAACAGCAGTGTAAGTAACACGTGTCACGTACAGTGATTGCCTGCTTTCTGGCCAAATGTTGTCACCATTAGAGTCACCAAAGAAACCCAGAGGGGAACAAACACCGGGACGTAGCTGGAGTTATAATGACCATCCAGCTTGTGAACGAGAAGAATCTGAAAACAACACAAACACTGATGAAAATCAACCCTGGATCTATAAAGCTCACAAAACAGAACAGTGGAACAGAAATATGGTCAACAGACCTTGAACTATTTCATAGCTCCCAGAAGTATTTTTCCCCATTCAGTTTTTTCAGAAAAAGGCAAATGATAATTTTTCTAAATAAAATTTTCTTATTCACAACACTGATCCTGAAAAACTCTACAGCTCTCCAGATGACAGCTGAAATTACTGCCAGCAAACATGAAACAGGATCCAAGTGAGTTTTTAGTTGATAAATTACAGGATAGCTTAATAAAAGATGGTTGTTCAGATGTGCTACAGTTTGAGTGCTTGATTTATAACCTGAAGTACACATCACCCTATTCATTTCAAACCAGACATCCCAAAAAGCATCATAAACCTGCAGTATGTAGATCGTAGAGGCCTTGTTGTCTTGTCAACTGCCCACATGTTATTTTTGAACTTCACAGGGAAGCCAAAGTGGTGACTTCTCAATCTCTGTGTCGGGCGTGTCTGCAGCCATATTCAAATAATGGAAATACATTTAGTGAAGTAGAGCTACTGCTCCACACAAGACGGATTGTCACATGTCATTTCAGACATTGCTTTGCTCATGGTAAAAACACTGGAAAACAGCAGTATGTGAGAAGTTACTAGCAGCTGTCATGTAATCAAGATTAAGTAAAACATCTGCCGTAATAGTTTTGATCATACAGACTGCGTGATTGTGGTGATATATTTCAGTTTTTTTTAGAATGTATGATTATTATTAGGCTCCATACGGTTGTATGGTAAATTAGAATGATTTCTGAAGGATCATGCGAGTAATGATGCTGAAAATATATATATATATATATATATATATATATAATGATTTAGTTACTAATGTGCAAAAAAGCATGACTAAAACGGTTATTAAATACAGGTCCTGTATATTGAGTAAAGGACACACACATGAAGATAATCTGTTTCTAGACTGGTTTAAAATCAGTATGGGCTGATCTCTACCCAAGACATGCCGAGTGTCTTCAGCTTACTTATTGCATAAACACAATCAAGTAAAAACTGAATGATGCTGGAATCAAACCTCAAAGGTAAGCAGGGGCACCACTATGGTCATCTTTGATCACAGTAATAAATTACATTTTAAAATGTAAAAAAAAATATATATTTTCACAATATTACTGTTTTTACTGTATTTTAATCAAATAAATGCCAAACCTCAAAGGTAAGCAGGGGCACCACTATGGTCATCCAGCTGATTGCCATGGTGATGTGTGTGCGCCGCTGCTCGGCAATGACATCCATGGACCGCAGGAAGAGCACAGACCAGACAATGTAATAGAGCACCACCAGACACAGGAAGGACATGAGAATCCACAGCGGTACGCACACCACCTGGAAAAGACACGGCACTTACTCTCATAACAAGACACAGAGCTCAGATTACGAAGCTGGTGGCCCAGCTGCAGGTGACTGATGACATGGCAGCAGTAAATGAGTGTGGCTGCCGTCCTTACCAACCACGGCCAGCTGATGATCTTATCCAGTCTCAAAGCGATGAAGATGAACTGAAGAATATTTACAGAGCACAGGATCTCCAGCTGATGAAACAACACAAAGAGTGTACAATCAGGCACGATTCATTTCTGGAAACACAAAGATAAACACAATTCTTCTGTTTGTAAACATGACATGGGTGAATCTCACAAGAACTGTGGGTCATATATATCAATAAAAAAACAAAGAAATTAGAAATCATTGTTTATAAAGGAAGTAGAGCCTGTTTTAGGAGTAATTGTGACAACTTTTTTTCTTTACCATAGTACAAAATTATAATAAAAAAGGTAATTATTATTTAGTTTTCTTTTCTATAAACCATTATATATATTATATTATATTATATTATATTATATATGTCAAAGATGAAAATACCAATACCAAAAAATCTTGTCAGGTTTATTTAAAACAAGGATAATTTACCACTGTCCTTCAACCCACTAGATTTTACCCATTTGTCAGCAACAAGTTATTAATCATTTAAAATATGTGACCCTGGAGCACAAAACCAGTCATAAGGGTCAATTTTTAAAAATTGAGATTTATACATCATCTAAAAGATGAATAAATAAGCTTTCCATTTATGTATGGTTTGTTAGATTAGGACAATATTTGGCCGAGATACAACTATCTGAAAATCTGGAATCTGAGGGTGCAAAAAAATCTAAATATTGAGAAAATCATCTTTAAAGTTGTTCAAATGAAGTTCTTAGCAATGCATATTACTAATCAAAAATTAAGTTTTGATATATTTACGGTAGGAAATTTACAAAATATCTTAATGGAACATGATCTTTACTTTTTTGTTACTTTATTTTTGGCATAAAAGAAAAATCAATAATTTTGACCCATACAATGTATTTTTGGCTATTGCTACAAATATACCCCAGCGACTTAACACTGCTTTTGTGTTCCAGAGTCACATATAGTAAAGTTTAATGTGATCACTTTTTCTTTTATATATTTTAATAAGTAGAGGTCAGAATAAGTATGTCGTTTCATTTTTACATTAAAAAAATGAAACAACAATAATGTTGTCATTTTGACAACATTTATTTTGACATTTTATTTTCACAAATGTTATTTGAAACATTAAAGTAGATGCTTTATTTAATATGCTTCCTATGTATATAAAATCACTTTTGTAAATTTAAAATGCGAATCTCGTCTTTGACCCATAAACCAAAGATTAAAAATATAATTGCAATGAAAACAACTGCGACAAATGGGAATAACTAAATTGTCATGAAACTACTGTCAATGCAAAAAGCGCAAAAATGTTGTTTTCCATGCATAAAATATAATTTCTTATTTTTATTTTGACATGAAGTATGACCTCAACATAACTTGTTCGACTTCAACCGTACTGAAAATGGTCGTGGTAGTTTGTTACAGACAAATCTTCCTCCTGTGATTGTAAATCACGGCTGATACCTCAAGCGACCGGTCGTGCCTGAATCCCCACACGCACGCCGCCACTGAGACGGGCGAGACGAAGAAGAGCGGCATGAAGACCAGAAGCCAGAAGTGTGAACCCCGCTGCACACGGTCACACACCAGCACCTCGAAGGTGAGCAGGAGGAGGTGGATCCCCACAGCGATCAGCATGGCCTTAAACTCCACGCAGGTCTCACCCTCAGCCCTAAAGACGACAGCTTACTGCATCACCAAAATCACACTTCCTTAAAGGGACAGGTCACCCAAAAATGACAATTCGGTCATCATTTACTCACCCTCGTGTTATTCCAAACCTGTATGAGTCTCTATTGTCTTCTGAACACAAAAGAAGATATTTTGAAGAATGTTGGTAACCAAAGAGTTGCTGGTCCCTATTGACTTCCATACTATGGAAAAAAAATACTATGGAAGTCAACGGCTACCGTCAACTGTTTGGAAACTCATACAGGTTTGAAACAACATGCGAGTGAGTAAATGATAACAGAATTTTCATTTTTGGGTGACCTGTCCCTTTAAGTCATAAAGGCAACATGATATGGCATTCTCACAAAGTTTACTAGTGTGCTGGCAAGACTTTACCTTCAACAGAAGCCGAAATAACATTTAAAAAAAATCATTATTTTGATACCATATACACATTAATTATGCTAAACAAGACTGGGAAAGTGTATCAGGGTCCTTAACCATATAAAGCCTGATACATTACCTTCAGACAAAATAAAAAAGTTGCACATGTATTTTGCATTTTGTGTCATATTTATCAGGCTTTTATGGGTCATAAAGTATGATATACTCAGACTCAGAATATGGAGGAAAAAACAGCTCAGATTTATTCAGAGGCCCAAACGGAGCAAAAACTATGCAATTTTGGTGCAGATGCTGATACGTGAGATGTATATGGCCAACAAAGTAGGATGAAATTCTCGTAGTTTGTAAAGTAAATCAATGAGATCTTTACTTACATAAAATCATAGAAATATCAGTTGTCACTCTGTATCTCCAATAATATGCAAGATGATATTCAAATGCTTAATTTGATTATCAAAACATATAATGAAATGCAGTACAATGATGACTGAGAGATGAACAAATTAACGTTCCTCAAAACCCTGATGATTCGAGACTGGAACATGAACGCGAGTTTTTCTAGAAAATGATGCATTGATAATCAAGTAAGCCTAAACTGCTTCAGTCCAGTAAGTGTTCATCTTAAAATGTAAAAATATAACAGTATATAAGCTATTAAAGAAGCAAATGATTTAAATCATGAAAGATTTCACAGCAAAAAGGCATGTATGCTACAGTTTTAGAATGACACTGGTAACAGATTAGATTAGGGAACACATGTTCACTACTAACTAAGAGTTTCCCCTCAATAAACTCAAATATTGACCATAAGTAAGGTAGTTGTTGTAGTAGTTATGGGTATTGGGTCGGGACAAGAGATCTAGAATATGGTCATGCAGAATAAAGCATTAATATGTGCTTTATACGTAATAAAGCACCAATATGCTGGTAATATGCAGCTAATAAGCAACTAGTTAATAGTGCTCCCTAATCTAAAGTCATACCAAAGGTCTTTCACTTGCTAAAAAAGCAACAATCAAGCACACGCCAGAAGGCATGCAGTAAATTGTGTACGACAGGTTTTTCAGCACAGTTTTCATGTGGATCAAGGCCCCTGCAATCCATGCATCAAATATGATACTAATAAGTGACTTCATTTCAAGATTTACTTGTTCCATTACTGGATGAATCAGTGCTTTTGAATGAATCTCTTGCCCCTTTTTGCCACCTAAAAATAATTGATAGGTGGAATTAAAATTTTAATTGTACAACAAGTATCCGATTCCTGACCTTTAGTATGCGATTCTGAAACTGGAATTGATTTTCGATTCCCAACCCTAATCATAAGCAGGGAGAAGTTGTGTCTGACCTGTACTGTGGGTTGTGCGCCCAAACCCCGGTGCCCACGGAAGCCCCAATGATGACCATGAGTTTCCAGAGCCAGATGGGAGCAAACACCGCCCAGTAGCTCCACTGGATGACGCCATCCAGCCTCAGCGACAGCAGCACAGAGAAGAGCAGCAGGCAGGCGTAGATCAGGAGCTTACTGCAGGACAACAACAACAACACACATGCGGTCAGAGCACAAGCTGGACACATCTGTCAAACACACCTGACTTCGGTCAGACGGGCCTGACTGAGACAGAAAACAAACGTATCTGAGAAGCTTCCCTTTTAGTGCTATCAAACGATTAACCGTGATTAATCACATACAAAATAATATATGTATGTGTATTGTGTACTGTGTATATTTATTATGTATATATAAATACACGCACTGACAGTATATACTTTTGAAAATTTTTACAAGTATATATTTATATTCTTATATTTTATATAAATATATTTAATATATAAACAACATATTTTTCTTAAATGTATACATGCATGTAAACAAAAACCTTTATTTTAGATACGATTAATCGCTTGACACCACTACGAAAATTAACCATGGTTTTATTGTAGTAATAGGTTTTTTGGCGTATTGATTACCATTTGTATAACCACAGTTTTACTACAAATACCATGGTTAAACTATGGTTACTGTAGCAAAACCATGGTTAATAGTAATCATGTTTTTTCTTTTCTGTTTAAGTTGTAGTAAAACCATGGTTAATTTTCGTAAGGGTTTGAACGAGAATCTTTAGGAAGACTGGCGTGTCGTGTTTTAAGTCAACGCTTTCGCCAAAGTGCTAAACGCAAATCGGTTTCAGGACTAAAACTGTTTGCTTCACTGAGCAGCGAAGCTATGCTAATACGAATCCAAAAGGCCTGCACGGTGAACATTAGCAGCTAAGCTAACAAAGTGAACGGTGGCGAATTCAAAACAAAGCGTCGGGTTTCATCGTTCACGTAACACACACAGGTCTTACCTAGGGTTGAAATCTTGAAAAACGCCTCGGAGATTCATGGTTTCCTCTTCAGACCATAGTTAGATGAAGTGAGAAGGGAAGGTTGACTAACTGACTAGCACTCACTGACTCACTCGCTTCAGAGTTCAGAGTTCAGACAGTCGGCAAACGCGACCAAACACGGTGACGTCACGCGCCCGTCTCTGCCCGCAGGATGACGCTGTTTACATTTATTTATTTTTCATTTTGTTTTGTTATTTTTGTTGTTACTAGGGTTGTATATTTTTGTATACTTGTTGCTAATCCTAATAAAGGAAGAAAAAAAATGACGCTGTTTACATTATAAGCTGATTATGAAAACAAACACGTTTCGGGGATTACGGTTACTATTTCAAGGTCACTGTAGCGAAATGCAATGTTACATTCATAAACTGAATTTATGCAATCTAATTTAATAAATTATATTTTTAGGCAATCAATGCATTCTAAGGTGGCGAAATGAAGAGTTTTGTTGAAGAAAATGTTAAAACATAATTTTTAAAAATCTTATCAGAGGGAGAAAATGCTTGTCTACCAAAAACTGTACAGCACACTGTTCAGGGTAGTAAGTCAAGTTTTCATTTCACATTTAAACTCTATGATGTCTGTCTACTCTGTTATGAAATCTTTACAATGAAGCGTATTATAGCTAGAAAAGAACAGCATGCTAGCAGAAGATCAGCATTTTCGAAAAATGTATGTATATGCATGTTCATTTATACTGGATAAAAAAAATGTTTCATGTCTAAATGTTATTTAGATGCATATGTAACATATTTTTGTAAAATATGTAGACGCACACATATTTTGCAAAAATATGTATCATAATAAACTGCATTTTGCATCAATGAGAATAAGTAGATGTACATAATACTCACAATTGCTCATTTGAAAATGTATATGCAACCTTTATTTCCAAGTGTAGTTGAGAAAACATGATTGGTGACATGGAAAAATGTCTGTTAAGTGCTTTATGACTATTATTATTATTTTTTGGTAATGTATGGAAAACCATGTGGCATTAAAGTTGGTTAATATTTACATAAAATCTGCCGTATTGTTTCACGGGGACATTAAATCCACCAAACTGTAGAAATGACCTTGAACCCATTTCACATACACCACTGTTAAAGTATGTGCATGATAAACACTTTTTGCAATCACAAAACTTTAATGTGTAAATCCAATAATTTAAGTAAAATAAAAAGGTGGTGATGTGGGCTGGAAACAGAAACGATAGCATGAACGGGTGCAGAATAGGCAATAAAAAGATTCTTCCTAACACACAAGCATATTGAAAAACCGTTTTTAGCACATGAAAGGTCTATTTACATATACACAAAAACATTTTAGAATTCAGTCACATAATGTAGGATTACAATTTAAAGCGTGGTTACTGTAGGAACAATCATCAGCTAATGCAAGAAAAAAAAAAAAAAGAAATCATTGTTTTTAATGAGCTTTCATATTAGTGCACAAGTTCCACCTGATTAGACGCGAAAGGTAAGACTCCGCTGACGTAATACGCAATGCCGAGTGAGAGCAGAGCAATGACGAGGAGCAGCAAGAGCACTCGCCAGAAGCCAAGATCTTCCACAAACTCCTGCCATGTAGTGCGGAAGCTGGACAACACGCCATCGCTGTGATGCAGGTGTGGGTTGAGAAGAGAGTGGCTCTCCATGGCACTGCAGGAGATACAGCAGCCCATAATGAGTGAGAACACTTATGAAGAACGATTCAGACGTTCGAAAGTTGGGATTATAAAAACAGGTAATGGCAATCATCTCACCTTTCATTCTCAGCCATGTGCATCTTCTCCAGACTGGAATGGGAGCTGCGGTTGAAGCCCTTCACCTCCTGTTCCTCCAGCCCCTCCAGCAGATGGAGTGCGTCCTTATTCACACCGCGTCTCTTGGCCAGCACCAGCGGAGTGGCTCCATTGTGATTACTGTTCAGATCAAAAAGCATGGACATGAAGCGGTCAGACTTTTTGTGGCAACTTCATGAATCCTCATCGAGCAAGACACCACATTTCATGGAACTGGCCCTGTAATATGTGAACTGTTAGTCAGGGCTTTTCAAACTGGGGTCCGGGGCCCTCAGGAGACCACAAGGAGGAGCTAAGGGGTCAGCAGAAAAAAAGAGAGCGAAGTGGGAAAAAAATAAATAGAATAATAAAAGTTCATCATTTTCAGAATGTGATATTATGCTTAAAGACTGGCCAGAAATCCTGAGATCAACTGAACAGAAAGTACTTCCCAGATAACACTGTACACATTTATTCTTTTTCACATTTACACTACTGTTCAAATTTTTTTTAATGTTAAAAAACACTTGTTCACCGAGACTGCATGATCACAAATATTATAAATATTGTGAAATATTATTACGATTCAAAATAACTGTTTTCTACATGAATATATTGTAAAACATAATTTATTCTGTGATCAAAGCTGAATTTCCAGCATCACTGCTCCAGTCTTCAGTGTCACGTGATCTTCAGAAATCATTCTAATATGCTGATTTGCAGCTCAAGAAACATTTCTGATTATTATCAATGTTGAAAACAGTTGTGTTCAAAAGAACAGCATTTATATGAAATCTTTTGTAAGATTATAAATGTCTTATGGTCCCTTTTGAATGTGTTGCTGAATATAAGTATTAATTTCTTTAAAAAACGGTAGTGTACTGTATGTTTTTAAAATATTTATCTACCTTTATATTATATTATTTTATGTGATCATTATATTTGGGGGTCTGTGCCTTCGAAAAGTTTGAAAACTCCTGCAATACTTCCATCTGTTATTTCATAGTTTTGATTTTTCGAAATAAAATATATGTAAGTGTCGTGACATTTTTGACTGCTAAGGTACCTTGGAAGAGCATGTGAACGCCAGTATAGGACTATGGTAATTCAGTATCATTATATATAGTCACTGTACCACGGTAACACTGACCAGATGTCGATCTTGAGGCCGTTGGACACCAGGAACTGGATGGTGTCTACATGCCCACACATGTGCAGTGCCGTGTTGCCCTGTGAGTCAGTGGCCAACAGATCGGCACCAAACTTATGCAGCAAAGAGCAGATCTCCACGTTTCCCCGAGCGGCAGCCAGATGCAATCCGGTCCGTCCACGGCAGTCCCTGGTGTTTGGGTCGAATCCGGACTCCAGGAGCCGCTTAGTGTGAGCGAGATCCCCGTCGATACAGGCCTGCAGCAGTGGCACGGTGGTCTGCAGGGAGTCGTTGATGAAGACGTAGGACATTTTGCACCTGATATCTGCGATCTGGAGATAAAAATCACATTTGGAACATATTTGGAACAGCTGACAACATGACACATCACAATGCTATAATTAAAAACTACTTTGATGTGACTCTTCTCATTTCTTTATAACCATCATGCAGTCATATTAATAGTTTTTTTTACTATTTTGTTTTACAAATTCATTTCTCACACCACACAGCCATTAATGAACTGTAAACAGTGGCTTAAAAAGGCTAAAAACACACTAAAATACACCTAAAATCTCTATGTTAGCATGTATTTTTGATGGATCCTTCATGCACCTTAATAGGTTAAAGCTTCAAAAACTGTAAACATTTATTAAATAAAGGTTATTAATTATGCTGAAAGTATCATTTAGATCACATGACAACTAAACTTCACGAATGAGCTAGCGGACTAGCTTGGTCAAGCTAGTATGTTATTCAACAAAGCAAACAAACAAAACACACGACTGTGACCAATAACGCCGTTTAATAACTTCCTTTATATACTAACTTATAGAAGGTAAATCAGTACCTCGGAGTGATATCTTGAACGTATCTTATCAAATCCGCTGCTTTCCCAGCCTCTGTTGTGGGAAAATAGAAATGAAATGACGTAAAAAGATGGAGGGTCAATAGACTACAAGCCCCAGTGCATGTTATGATTACAAATATTTGACTTCCGCGTCTTAGCCTCACAATCTGGTCAGTGTAGTTTTTCTGGTGCGGTTGACTATTAGAACGGCTCAGACATGGACTGCGTTACCCACAATGCACCGCGTTGTATTTGTATCCGATGACGGATGAGGATGGAGGCAGGTAGGAAATTTATGGTTAAAAATAAGAAAAAGATCAGCGATTTATCGATTCTTTCGGCTGACAACGTTCACGCGACGTTTTAAGTTAGTAAAGCGTCGACAAATGTCTAGTGAGATCTGCTAGGGATTCCCAAAGAGGATATTTCGTAACTGAGTTTCAAGTTTTCTCATTGTTCTTCAGTGGCCTGTGCGTCTCTCACTTGCAAATACAGACAAATAGAGTTCGTCTGCTCCACGAGTCGTTGTTGTTGTGGTTCAGATGACCAAAGTTATTACTCTGTATGTTGGCACTGGCACTAACAAAAAAATTACCATGGTAAAACCACGTTTGTGGAGTTTTACCATGCTATGTACCATGGTGTTCAAGTTCCTAGAGTACCCAGTAAATACATGGTGTCTGATTGTGTCATTTTATTATATGCAAGTATATGGTACATTAGCATCTGTGACCATCCCAATGTTGGGATGTCAGAAGATGTAGTACCTCTGCTTAACTCCCTAATTGTGAAGTGCTGCTACGTGTTGTTGTTCTATCAGAAATTTACTGTGATTGTGTCACAGCACTAACATGTCACCAATTATTCCAGTTCTAGCCAAGTATGAGAATCAAATCAACGTATTCTCCGAGTTCCTAGAAGACCTGCCAGATGTAGACGAGCCAGTATGGATCTTGGGAGCATGTTATGATCTTAAAACAAGTAAGACAGGCCATAATGTAGTGGCATTTTGCTTTCAGAATGAATTAACTATATAAACACACTCGCTCTTATTAAATTGGATTTTGCATATCGGCCACCCTGCTCTCTGTAGTGGCATCAGCCATTAACACCTTAACCACGAATTAAGATATTAAATCTGGGTTTCTCTTGTCCTTGTTACAGTGTAATTATAGTAAAAGTACTGAGTAATATTAATTAACTAAATATAGTTACCAGAGGGTTCGGATTAGTTGCTTCTAACTATGCATTATTTACTGTTACATTACTCTGGTGCACTGGTGGTCAAAGAGTTTTAATGTTTT